TTTTTTTTTTTTTTTTTTAAAGCTATGTGATATGGGAAACTAAAGTTACTTGAGGAATAACTTTTAAGATTCAAAAGAGGAAGTGAAGAATTTATTATTCTGTAAGAAGTGCTGATGGAGTTACGTTTTAATGTGTCAGTTTGTTCACATACATAAATATAGTTCTGTTAATAAAAAAGGTGAGATTTTTAAAAACTTGAATTATGTGCATTTTAGATTACATAAACTCTTGGAAATGATTAGCAAAATGAATAGAGGTTGAGAATTGGAGCATTTTAGGCAGTGTTGAAAGTAATGTTATCTGTACTACAGTTTACTGTTACATTGCAGAGGCATGCTGAAAATTGATTCATTGCTATGGGATTTAGTAGATAAGGAGAATTTTTTATTAATTTAAAGCTTTCTTATAAATGTCTGGGGAAAGTTGAAAAATCATTGCTACATTTTAGTGCTAGAAGAAAAGCATTGTGGGGAAAAAAAATAATATCTAAACTTCCCCAAAGAATTAATCTGACAGTTTTTAGACTACAGTGGGCTCCAGGGTTCTGTTTCTGCATCACATTGTAGCATGTGCATGATGAATTAGTATCATTAAAATAGTTTCCTAATAAAAAGATAACAAATAAAAACTCCTTGTTGCTATATAAGCCTGTCAAAGTAGTAGTATGCTGGACTGTGGATAGGAGGTGTTTATTTGAGCACACTGGCTCAAGAATGCATGTTTGTTAGTCCACCCTTAAAACTAGGTAGCATCTTCTATAAACAGTGGTCTTAACGTTGACAGAAGTGGACCCAAGGTCTTGTCTGCAGTAGGAAATCTTGTCATTTTTGTACTACATCATAATGAAAGAGAAAGCTTCTCAAGAAGGGTCTGGATATATTGGTGTAAAACGCTTTATATTGATACAGCCTCTTCCTCTAGGAAGCTAAATAGCTGTTTCAGTGTAAAGCATCTTTATGTTGACGCAAATGCATCTAAATTTAGGGTGCTTTTATTTTAACTGCTATTACTGAACTAGCAAAAAAAGATAGGTCTTCATGTTATGTTGGTAGGAATTTTTTCTTTCATAGTCTTGGTGTAGTTTTGTCTGAAATATCTTTATCTACAGTAGTTGATAACATACTTTAGGGTAAGTTAACTGCTACTCGAAAAGAAAGAAACAATGCCGCATTTTCTTAAGGTAAATGCATTGAAGTATGTATTTAAACATGATCATTGCCCTCTTTTACTGGAAATTGAAAATAAGCATTTTATAAAACTGAGAAACCATTTGCAACCTCTCTTTGGAACTGCTGTGATGGCTTCTATCAACAAGGCCTCTGTCTTTTGAAATCTCCCCCACTGAGATTACAGTTTTTTCCATCTATTTAATCATCCGTATATTTCTGCAGTTCTTGATGACTGATTTCTTTTCAATTAGATTATGCCAGTTTAATGCTTTCCTAAATGCAGAAGCTAGACTGGAGTTTATCCTAAGTTATACAAATATTTGTATGTAACAAAGAAGGGGTGGGGTGGGGAATAAATAAAGAAATATGCTGGCAAATCATTCTAAACTTCACTTACGTAGAGAAGTAAATCTCCTAAATTGGTGGGATGGTCTTCCCATTCCCTCAGCCTTTTATTCATATGTCCTGCCTTGCTGAAAGATCTTTTTCTGTTTTCCTACAGCTTTCTGAAACTGTGCTTCCTTAAGTTGGCTTATTTCTTTCCTTATGGCCTCATCAATGTTGAGATAAGGGAGCTGTTATTTTCCATTATTAGCTCATGTAAACATCAAAGAAATGCTATTGCCTTTCTTGCAATCACATGGCATTACTGTTTCACTCCCAGTTTCTGATCTTTTACAGCCCTGACCAATTATTCCCTGGGTCTTAATTTATTTGAACTCTTCTTGAGTGTAACATTTGTCTTTCTGCATTTCATGTATTTATTTCAGAAGACCTGCCCAGTTTTTTAACAGAATTCAAAATTCTGATCCTTTTCTCATAAATTTTACAATCCTTCTGTTTGACATCACCGAAAGATTCATAAGTACTTTTACTCTTCCACCATCCAAGTTGTTAACAAATGCATCAGAGCAGGCACATGACAGACTGCTAGCAGACCCTCCTTGGTTTCTTCATCCTTTTGAGTGAGCTCCACAGCTTGAGGTGGAGGTGAAATATTCATTAGTCCTTTCAGTACTGATAAGTATTAATTGGATTTGGTGATTTTTCTAACCAGTTAGTCATTCACTTCGGAGTAACAGTTTCTTTGACATGCTTTCTTAGCTGCTTAATGCAGTGTGTTAGGGCAGTGTCAGACATCTTAAGAGTCAATGTATGTTTTTTCCCATATTGATGACAGGAAAACAGCTTTACCCTCTACCTCTAAAACCAAACCCAGCATGTCTTAAACATTTTCCAACTCTGATGCAAAAGTGTGAGTATTTGATACATGGTTGTTTCTTTTACTGCGTCAGATCAAGTAGATAATTATAAGACATCTCTTCTATATATAAAAGGCATCTCTGTTTATAGCTTCCAATATACCGACATCAAGTGACGTTCTCGGTAACCCCCTATTCCGATATGACATTATTTCATTAGTCTCAAAAACTTTTTTCCATCATCTTTTATACACCTGTTTAAACAGAGTGTCAGGGAACATTTACCTTGGTAAAACAACACAGTGATTTTTTTAATTATTAATATTTTCTAATTAATTGGTTCTTTACCTGCTTTAAGTTGAATGCAGTTTCTGTATACATTTTCTACTGCCTTTACAATTAGAATCACTGCATCCAGCTATTTGTTTTGTGAGAGCTGAAAGCAATTTTTACATATTTTTTCCAGTGATACAAATGCAAACATTTTTACCATGTGGTCCATTAGGCTGGAAATTAACAGATTGTAGAGACAGCCAGATAAAGCTAAAAGCAGTAATTAAACACTAGCTAGTATAAAATCATTACTCGGTCCAACTAGTGAACTGATTGAAAACAAAAAGCATGGATTTGCTCACAGCTGTTTTTCATTTAGGTCAGTGCTACTCAGAAATTTCTGTCTGCCTGATGGAGTAGGGCTGCTTGAAAGTTGGGAATACCTCTAGTGGGAAGCCTCCATTAAACCTGTTTTCACCTGAATCTGGGATATGTAAAGATGGTTTAAAAAGTGGAAAAATGGCTTTATGGCCCATTTGACTACCCTATGATATAGATAGGCAAAACAAAAAAAAAATTGTTTTACACAACTTTTTTTTTTTCCTCTTTGGAAGATACCTTGGAGGACAGAGAATGGAAGGGTATCTCAGAATATAGTTCTTTCAAAAGAAAACAGATTAAAATAATATTGTTAAAGTTATATTAATTTAAGTAATGTAGAACTCAGTTACATAATTGAGAGGGTTTTTTAATAAAATATTAAGAGCTGTCAGCTGGAACAATCATATCAACATCAGTCACAGAAATTTATTTTTCAGCTTAGAAAAATTGAGTATCTACACTGATCCTTCCTGTTAATAAGCAAGAGGCAAGAAATTCAGTATCTTAGACATGGTAACACATCAGAACAAAACTGTCTAAGAGACACTATCAGTATTTGATAAAGTGGAATTTTTACATTATAAGTAAAATACTCTTTAAATGAAAAGGTATCTGTCCTGCAGTGTATGTTTCTCTTGTGGTCAGTGCTTTTTGTTGTTTACAGGGCATTGCTCAGATAAACCTGACTGATGCAGAGAGTTCTGGTGAGATGCAGCTTCACTGGTATACCATTCAGATCTTCGCTGGTTCAGACCCCCAAAAAGCAAAGAACAAAAACCAGTGTGAAGAAAGTATTCCCCGGTCTTCTGGAAATGTAACTATAGTTAAAACAGCATGGTTCTGAAAAAGCGATTTTTTAATTTTAGTTGACCTGCTAGGTGGTTGATTGTGATTCTTATCTTGGGTGCAGTTTGGTTTTGAGGTGTACCGAAGTTGATATCTTAATTTAGCTCTTGTGGCAAGAGCTAGACTTTAAAAAGAATAATTAAAAGTTAAATCGTGTCTGGACAGGTGCTTGAAATAGTATTCTGTGTATGTTTGTATGTACACTTCCAGTCCAACTATCTAAACTGCATTAAAAACTGCTGCTGTACTTCAAGAGGTTGTCAAGAAAGGTGGCACCGTTTCCATCCTTGGAGATTTTTCAGCCCTTGACTTGGGTCCTGGGCAACCTGATGGGGCTGTGAAGCTGTCACTGCTTTGGGCAGGACATCAGACTAGGTGACCTCTAGAGGTCTTTTCTGACCTAACTTGCTGGATGATGCTTCACAGTGAGATAAAGTCTACCCCATTTCTGTGAGAAGTTGCATTCATGGATCACCACGTACTTTTTTGATCATTTTGACTTAGGACAGATTTTTTTTTTTTTTTTAAGGAGCATACAACGGCTAAGTTTTTATTTTGTTTTCTCTGAATAATATTCATTAAATACATTGGCTTGTTCAAACAGTTTTATTTGAAGTCTAGTTTACCTTTCAGGATGCAGTGACAGCCCTGTTAGCTAGGACCACCGCCCAGCTGGAAGCAGTTGAGAGAGAGCTGGCAGAAGAGAGAGTGAAACTGGAGTACACAGAGGAGGAAATCCTGGAGATGGAAAGAAAGGAAGATCAGGCAGAAGCCATATCAGAAAGGTAAAAATAGTGGTTTAAACACCTCATCAAACAGCCGAATGATATTTACACTGTGGGTATGGTCTGAAATACAGCAGGAGAAACAGCAGGTCCTTATTCCAAGATCTCCGTGTTGGTGTTATGGGTATAAAATTCCGTTATTATGAGATGATGTGCATAGAGGAGAAAACATTATTTGAATAGCTGTCTGAGTTTAGTGGACTTGGAATTTGGGAGTGGAAAAACATCGTATCAAACAAACTTTGCTACGAAGGCAACTGTAATGGGTTGGCAATAACACTGTACTAAAAAAAAAAATTTTGTGGCAACATGGGAAAATGTCAGATACACTCTGCAATGCTTAGGGAGTGCTTAAAATTTCAGGGTTTATTACAGTGCTGTTTCATCATTAATAGTACTCATACATGAGTTGTACTACTCTTACGTGAGTTGCATTGGGGGGTTTTGTATTGTTTTCTCAGTATTGTTATAAAGATCAGAACATATACTTTAAGAAAATTAGGGAAAGTGATTTGGGGGGGGGAGGGCATGAAATGTATTTGCTTGTCAACATCTGCAGAAATGCAAGTGGGATATATACTCCCTTTGAAGATTCTGTGTTTTTATTCGAGAAATAATACTCAAAAATGATAAACTGACCTGGATAATGAACTATATGAACATGACACATAATTGCATAGGTTTTTTTAATGCCCGCAAAATTCTTGTGATGTTCTGCCTTTAGGAGTTGGCAAGCAGAATCTGTTGACAGTGGATGCAGTAATTGCACACAGACTAGTCCTCCTTATCCAGAGCCATTTTGCGGGGATTCATTAGCTGGACACATGTTTGCAACTCAAGCAGGCCAGTACAGTTCTGGAAAAATGCAGCCTCCGCCACTAAAGGTAATGAGAGAAGACACTGCAGTACAGAAACTACCACACTGCCTGGTGCACACAGAGTGTGTTGCTACTGCTCCTTGAGTTTGAGTCTGAATTGATCAGGAGAGAAAATCAGAAATGATATTAACAACCCTGTATGAGCACTGCCTTCATGACAGCAGTGTGCTTTTTGAGTTGTTAAAAATGCCTTCTTTAGGGATGGGGTTTTTGTTTGCTTACTAGTTATTTCTGGATGGAATTAGGGTTTTTATATTCAAAGACAAGCTATGGCCTTCACCTAATCTGTATCAGTGTCTGTGTTGACCTGAAATTGTAACAGGAAAGATCATGATCAGACCAGTGCTCTTAGAAATAAGAATTTTTGAAGGAATTGTGAAGAAAGAAGCTTAATATTTTACGACTTGCATTGCTGTTTCAGTGTTACAATAAATACAGTTAAAATTTTCAGAACCATCATGCTGAAACCAATGTATTTAAAGTCTTTTGTATAATCTGAAGAAGACAAAATCAGCACACTGCTGTTGAAGTGAAGGAACATAAGCCCGTTTGTGTTGCCTTTAGGGAAGATCATACCTCCTGCTGAGGAATGAGTTAACTTAGGGTTTGGAAGCTTTGCTGGAGTAGCATGTATTCTGTATTTCTGAATATTTTAGTTTTGTTGTATCATTGTTTCAACAGCTTTTCAGTTCTCTTGTTGAGTTTCTTCTCTTCATTTGACTTGCAGTTTTAAGGTTTTTTTAACTTGTTTCAGAGTCACCTTATTGAAAGGTGACTCAGTTTTCTTCTGTTGAGGCTGGAGATCAGGTAGTAACTTGATTAATGCCCAATTGCCAATCCTGAATGCAGTCCTTGTGCTCTGCAGCTATGATTCATGTTATAACTGCATCTCATAATTGTTACTGCTCCAGCAAAGGCTTCTGAAAGGTAATCTTACATTTTTGAATGACCTAGTTTTAAAACTTTTTAAAGAATGAGATGATTTATCCTCTGTTGTCAGTGCTTATTAAAACTTGAACCTAGCTAGCAGGGCCAATTGTTTACTTTTGATATTGTTGAAATGCCTGGTTGGTTTTGGTGAGAGAGAAAATAAGGAAAAAATAAAAAAATTTCCTTCATTGAAATTTTAGGTGGATAAGGAAACTAACACTGAGGATCTGTTTCCTGAAGAAGTTGCTACTCTTCCAAAAGAGAGAACTAGCCGCAGGCCACGGGGTTCTGCTTTTGTTCGCAGTAGCACTATTGTTCGTTCCCAGACCTTCTCTCCTGGAGCACGAAGTCAATATGTTTGCAGAGTGAGTAAGGCTCAAAAAGAAGCAGGGGGAGGGGCCTCCACACAAGTATTTTGTACTTTTTTGATAATTTCTTCTTAAGACTTCAGTATATTTATAAGAAACATACACTACTTCTTCATACTAATGAATAATCTTTCACTGAATTTAAACATTGCAGTGGGGAAGAGGTCCCCTGGTTCTTTTAAGAGTTTAAACCTGAATTTATTTCATTTAAAATGTAAGAATCTGTGACAAATTAGATATTTAGCTCTCTTCCCTGGTAACCTTAGCTGTTAGGCTAGAGTGATTGATTTTGCAGAGGTACAGTGCTCTCTAATGAGGTACATAAACATCTTAGAAGCCATGTTTAGCTTTCATGTACCTAAGAGTTTGGGAAAGGGGACTGAATGCATGATCTTAGAATTACTGCATAAATATTATTACAACTCTGGTTTCTGTCGTGCATGTCAGTCATAGGATGCTTGTTACAGTGGGACGTAGGATGCCCGGGTGCCCTGGTGCAAGTAGTTAAGGATTAGCACAACAGTTTTCAAGCTCACAATAGCAGATTGTGATGTTCATTGGTATTGATTTTGTGATATGGGTGAAATGCACATAGCTTTAATTGTACTCTTTCATAAGCTTTTGAGAGCTTGAGTTTGAAAAGGATTTTTAACTTCTACGATTTTTCCTAAACTGAGGATCTTCTGGGTTTTGCTGTCTTATTTACACTGCATGTAGTGCATCTGTGGACCCCTTGAAATTCTTCAGTTTGATTTCTGGATTCCGTATCTGTTTCTGGTATAGGGAATGTGAGTAAAACACTCACACACCAGAACAAAGACAGTGCAAAAAGGAAGATTGTTAAACACCCTCACTTAATCTGCATTTACATAAAATCAGAGGGAGGAAAAAGGTGGGAGACTTTATTGTTTGTGCCCATGACAGGGAATGCTTTAGGAAGAAATATTATTGCCTTTAACTCCCCCCTCCCCCTTTTTTAGACTCTATTGTCTTGGATATTTAGTAGAATTCTTGATAAAACAGCTATAAAATATGGGTGGTTTTGAAGTTTTCTTGCATTATTGTAACTATACAGTATAAGCACTGTTATGTGTGCATTTTTATAAATAACTAAAGCTGAAAAAATCAGTTGCTTAAAACAAGACCGTGTTTCAGTGTGTTTTTTAAAATAAATTGCAAAAGAAAAAAAAAATCTAATCTCTTAATGTAGATGGCCTTGTAAACAACCAGTATTTTCAATATCTTTTCTAATCAGCTGTATCGGAGTGACAGTGACAGTTCAACTCTGCCAAGGAAGTCCCCTTTTGTCCGGAATACATTGGAGAGGCGTACTCTACGGTATAAGCAGGTATACCTAAGAAATTGGTTTTTACTTTTCACCAAGTTACTGGAACAGTGGTACTTTTATGCCTAAGTTTTAGATATCTACAGGTACGTTCTAATGTTTTTAGGAAATGTATAAGGCTTCTGTAAGGTAATCGGGAGGGGTGTGTGTTTTGGGTTTGGAGTTTTTTAAGCTAAAAGGTCGACATAGAGAGGTGAAATATAGTTGTAAACAATTATTTGAGGAGGAAAAAAAAGTGGGGCAGAGAAAAATTAGTTTAATGGGGTCTGGATTTGTATTTGGTTGTAAACTTTAAGTCTTTAAAATCTAGTTTATGATGCATTGTGCAGCCCCAGAGAAGTGTGGGTGAATGTGACAGTAAAACACCCAGCTCCCCTCCCATGCAGTGTAATAAACCATAGTATTTGAGACCCAAGTATTCAGGAATTTTTCCCAATGCCACCCTGCATGTTGCAGGACAAGTGGGCAGAGAAGGACAGGTAAGGTGTTAATGCCTTGTATATGAATTGCATACAGTTTAGCCCGGTCAGCGGAAATTTAATTTCTTGCTGGTGTAGGCAAGTAGAGAGCTATGCCTCCTATTTTGATTCAGAACATATCTTAAAACCAATATTGAATAAAGCCCTTTAAGGGGAATCTTGCTCAGTAAAGTATTTTCCAACATTGTGACTCTGAGTTTTTCATATCACATTGCTTTTATTATCATCATAACATGAAAGCTTAGTCCATAACCTTAAATTAGTTAAACATTTATAAGCCAGAAGGAGACTGTAAAAGGAGGTAGTAGAAAGCATTAATTGAAAAGTTAATGTACAGAAAGCCCCTACAGCTAGTTAGCCTTTCACTGTGGAATATTAAATAATCTCTCCAAAACTTTGTGTCAGGAAAGACTTTGTGTGTGAAGTAAGTACAGGAAATTTATGATTTATATAGCTAAAGATAGACCAGTATACCATGTTAAGAGTAATCTATTGTGCATTTTGTTTGAATCCTAATAACTCAGCAGTCCTGCAGATCATCTTTGGCTGAGCTAATGGCAAGGACATCCTTAGACCTGGAGCTGGATCTCCAGGCATCCAGAACTAGACAAAGACAGCTGAACGAGGAGATATGTGTTTTAAGAGAGCTGAGACAGCGTCTGGAAGATGCCAAACTCAGAGGACAGACAGATCTACCCCACTGGGTCCTTCGGGATGAGCGATTCCGAAACTTGTTGAAGGAAGCAGAAAGGCAGGTATGGTAACACAAGATGAGCACTCAACATCTTTAGAAGATTCTGGTTTCAAAACTTCTTGATTGTGACAAGATGTCTAAAGAGCTGTTTTTACAGAACTTCAGACAATGAATGTTGCCTCTATATTCTTAAAGTTAGCACAGTAAAAATTATTGCATTGATTATTACCAAACTATATATTTATTTGAGGACAGTTACTGGAGAACTACACTATTTGTCAGTGGCATTTTTTGTCTTGGTTTGGATTTTTGTTGGTTTGTTTTATTTAGTATTGGAATTTTAATAATTTTCTTCTGATCTTTGAAAGAAATCTTGCTGATTTGATGTTTCATTTTTGACAGTTTATTTGGAGTGTTCCCTAAGTATGTGACTTCTTTCCTGTTCTTGGAGAAGGAAGTTGTAGGCAAAAAGTGGCAAAAGCTGCATAACAAACAAAATTGTCATTGGATTATCAGAGACCAAGAGTGACCCTAAATTTGTTTTAAGGTCTTGTTTGGCAGATTTATGTGCAATAAATTTCATTAATTTAATACATGTCTGTCTGAAGAGTATTAAGAATTGAAACAACACTGTCAGTCTTTTGAATTTATAGTTCTTTGATGATCAGCTATTTCAGATAAAGTACTTGTGTGGTTTTACTGTGGCGAGAGGGGGAATCCATTATTTTAACCTGGGTATTCTTGTGTTTTATTTATTCACGTGACCATTTTAAGCGTTATATTCTTGTTTTCAGACCAGACAGACCAAATTTGAACATCACCAAGAGCAAGCAGCTGAAAAGATGCTAAAGAAAGCGTCAAAAGAAATATACCAGTTGCGTGGGCAAAATCAGAAGGAGCCTATTCAGGTGCAGACTTTCAGGTAAGTGGTAATGTGTACTGAAATAGCATAGCAACAGTCCAATAGAGAGAATAAAGTTCTGTGAAGCATTTAGCTTAAATTCTGTGTGTCTTCTATATAGCCAGTGTTTTTTAACCGCATATTGATTTGGACACTTGCATTTCCTTTGAATTATTTGTTGTATAAAGTGCCAAAGCTAAGATTAAATTGCAGTGTTACAATTCTAAAACACATGAAATAATAAAAAAAGAAAAGTAGTCTTCAAGTGCAAACGTAGTTAAGGTGATTCTTTCAGCTTAGCCTAGCCACTCGTGTTCAAATGATTTGTCAATTCTTCACTGCAAGCCTGTGGGCATAAATAGTTTAGTGTAATACATATACATTACTAGTAACACTCTCTCCCTAAAAATTACTCCATAATATTCAAGCTTTCTCTCAAGAAGCCTTTTCTTTGGTGGTTCTTCTTTTCCCCCTATTTCATCTGTGTTCACATGGTAAGTGTCCTCTCCTAGCTTTATTTATGGCTGTTTATTTTGTGTACAAGCGTGCATTTCGCAGGAAGACTTTATTACTTCAGCATTAAAATGTCTTTAATTTTTATTGCGAGAGTAACAGTAAGAAAATGTTAAATGCAGCATAGATGTGGAGGACAGCTCAGCCACAGTGTTACATTATACTGGTTTATCCAGTGGTTAGATTTTTAGAACTTTTTTTCAGGGAATATTGAAGTGAAATAGAAAAGCTGTGTGTCCTTTAAAGTCACTTTTTGCTTGAATTACATTAAAAAGATCTTTCTCACAAAGGTGGGGAGAAAGTAGGAGGAATAGAAATTTTAGCATTGTTTAACGTCTTATGCTTCTGGTAATAAGAGAGGCGGGGTTATGCTTTTTCTACCAAGATGTAAAAAGATATGGGGAATTGAATACAATGAGATGCAGAAAATGAAGCAAAAGCTGTCTTCCTTGTTTAAGTTCTTGCCCTTTTCATGCACACGGCCATTTCTTATGACACTTACTTTACAGCATGTACTGTTTGCTCAATAAAGAAGCAAACAGATGACTCCGCCATTTTTTTTTTTTTTTTTCCTTTTTTCTTGGTAGGCTTTACTGCAGAATGTACAAGGGTGAATTTGCATTGCAGAAGGGCTTATGGAGGGCTTGTCCTGTGAAACCTTTTTACAGTCAACTCTGATGTTCAATGAGTTGTAGAAAGCTTCACCTTAATCTTCAAAAGTAGTAATTGTGTTCAATGGAATGTTGCCAAAAGTATACAGCGAGGTTTAGTAGTTTTTGAAAGTTTCTTGTACTCTAAACCATCAGTTCAGTATATAAATAACAAATACTAACTAACTGGAGTATGAAGGGGGGGAAAAAGCCAAAACTGTAGGCATGTATTTAATTGACTTCCTTTTCATCTTATTTTGATCACAGAGAGAAGATAGCTTTTTTCACAAGACCAAGGATTAACATACCTCCTCTGCCAGCTGATGATGTATGACATGTTGCTTTGTAAACATGAAGTATTTATCGCTTTTATTTTAATGAAGTTATTAGATTAGCCATTTCTTTAAAAAAATTGTGCAAAAGCTAATATACACGTTTTGTAAAAAATAAAAAAAGTAAAAAAAGTAAAAGTAAACAAAAACATATATATAAATATATATACATATATATTTTATAATAGCGACTGCAACAAGGCTTGGTTTTTCCTTGTTGTGAAACTGACATCTCTGAAGACAACTTATTTTATAAAAGATCGACTATCCTGTTAAGAGCGTGTACAGTTTTTATGCTGTTTTATTTGACTTAAAGGCTGGAAGACAGAAACAAAGTGAGTTCAGGCAAATTCACTGTAGTGTAATTTATTTATAGTGCCTTTTTTCCTTGAAGGAAAATACCTACTTTAAGATGTATTTTAAGACTGAAATTTTGTTCTTCAGTATTTGTCATACAGTAGAATGGAACTATTGAGCTGGTTTTGTTTCTGATACCTGAAATGAAAATACTGTGTTCTAAAATTGTCACTTTTTTCAGCTTTATTATCTGTAGCTTATTATGTACATTGTATCCTTTAGCACTGTCTGTGTTATAGCAAAATATTATCACCTGCAATGTGTTTAACACTGATTAGAAGTGATGTTAAACATTGCAGAATTCATTTGCATGTTCTTACTGTGCACTAATAGATTGTTTTCATTTCGGTTGTGTCTAAAGTATCTTTATATTCTTAACTAGATTCTCAGTTTAAACGGAGGAAGGAAAAGGGTGACAGGTCTTTGTTTTGTTGTTTAAAAAAAAAAAGGAGTTAAAAGAGTAATGTGAGCTAGCTGTGTGGAAAGACTGCTAAAGGAATGTTACATTAATTCCTACAGTTTCAAAGATTCTGATCTGATTCAGGAAAGTACATATGTGCTGATTTTGGAGAGCAGCTGCATTAAGTAAGGGTGCTTAAACACAAGTTCATCCTAAAGGATGTGTTTTGAGGTTACTGCATGCAAGTTCTGTTGAAGAGTGACACTTTTCAGGAGGAGGGTGTATAATTCTGGAAGGTACAGCTCACTTGATTGCTAGTTGGACCAGCTAAAATCCGAAAAGAAATAATTTTACTTGTGACCATTTGTTTTAATGAAAGACTGTCACCCTAAATTCCCGAGAATGCCAGTTTTGTGTCCTTGCATCCTGCAAGTATGTAAAAATACTTCTTTACTAAGCTACTATAATAGAGTTTCTCATATTTTTTCTAATTATACATTACCTACAAAGAGAGGTGCCCAACACAAGACTGACTTTGCAAATTGCTGAAATCTCCTAGAAGGAAGATCATGTTGTCTCTTAATTTAAAGGACAAATTGGTTCCAGATTTTTGTATGCCAGGAAATGAAAACGAACAGTAGCCAAAAACTAAAGGGACTTAACAGAACCAATCCAAATATTTTCAAATATTTTTTAAATTAAGTGTTCTCTGTGAGTTTCAAGAACTTATACTCTGTTGTTACCTTGTCAAGGGTCAGGAAAACCTGAAAGTGAAACTGAATTACTTGTCCAAGCTGAGGCAAAAAAGTAAAGAGGGAAAAAGATTGTGAACCTAAATCATCAATCAGTGAGAGTAATTAATGCAGACATTTAATTTTAAGGTAGTGTTCCCTGTTTCCTAGTATGGCCTATAATCATTACAGGCATCAAGTGATTAGATCAAGTAGGAATATATGTGAAATTGGAGTATAGTATTTATCATGCTAACCAGCCTGAAGTCTGTTTTTGCCAGCAAGCTTCAGTGGGTATATATTGGGTTCCTTGGGCACAACTAGACGTATTCAGAAACTATGCAGATAAAAACCAAATCATGTAAGAAATTTTCAGTGTTTGGGCAAAAAAAAAATCTAGGGACAGCAAGGTTTTCAGTGCTCATTACTTGAAAAGACCAGTTAGTCGGAATTTTGTGTCTAGTTTTCAGCGGAGGCCCTTACGTAGTAGTGTTGATCAAATGTTACCGTGCAGTGACACTAGAACTAGTTGCTGTAAACTAAGAACAGACATCACTGGAGCATCCTGATTTCAGTAGGACCCGCTCTGAACAGGGGTTGGGGTAGGGACTTCCCTTCCACCCTAAATGAATCTGTGACTGTATAACGAAGGGGCAATGTCTGGTGGCCTTTTTGTCAGTTGGTGTTTTTAAACAGTGACCGTTGTGAGATGTCATCAGCGTATCTTGTGGGTCCGAGATTCTGACTGCTGTTAATGAGTTCTGTCTTGATGTGGTAATGAGTTATCATATTCAGTATTCATCTCTCTTGTTTTTGTCACAGTTCTGTATGATTGTGTCGTTTTTGTATTATTTGAAAGTATTTCTTCTACAAAATAAAATAATTTGCAATAAACAGCAATAGAACTTTGTTATATGTCAAAGTATAAGACAGTTTTTGAAATTTATATCTGCCACTTTCAGGATGCTTTTATAAAGAAATTTTGTATTTTGAGTAACACTGTCATTTAGGTGAATGTAATGAGTTTTCAAATAAAAGTAAGAGAGGAAATCTGTGAAATCGGGTATACTAGAGAGGTTACGCTGAAGACCTGAAAGGGATGGAGAGTGTAAGGAGTGGCAGGTATGTTCTCCCACATGCTTATCACTCACGATAAGCTGACAGCTGCATTAGAGGCTCATAGTGGAATGTTCCTGGAATTCATGCGTAGCTCCACTGACAACACATTGAACTGACTTTTTTCCCTAACAGAACTTTGTACTTTGTAGATCTATACTGGACATAAGTTGACATTGTTAGTTCTGTAATATCGTACTTATGACTAAGTCCAAGGTGGAAGCCACTCAGAAGAATACTGGTTAACTTTTTTAGGCTGAACTTTACTGCTGCTTTCACAAAGGAAACACTAAAACTGCATAATTGCAGAAAGGATATTTCTCAGTTTCTCTCTGCAACCCTAAGCTGCAGTACCGCAGGCAAAATCATAGTACTGACATATGACTCCTGTCTCTGTCCAATATTTGCACGGTGTTAAGGGTATGACAGAGTTTAGGTTATTTTTAAACGGTCTGCTAGAAATAGTCATTTGGAATACCAGCCGTCTCTGTCTCACAGCCGTTAGGATCAACAGCAAAATAAATAATGGGTATGTCGGTATGGGTTTTCTGTTGTAAGAATGATGTTTTATATGTATTTCTTGCTGCAGTTCTTGTAAGCACTTCAGAAGACTTAAAGGTAAGTGATGTATAAAAAGAGCAAACTCTATTTTTTTTTTTTTATGAATTAGATGAACTACCTATTTTGTTTTCAGCAGATGTAAAACTGATGGTTGAATTTTTAGGGAAGAGGGCACTTTACAGCTTGTTTTGACTTCAGTCTCCTTTTTAACTATAGTCATATATCTTTGAGAGGAGGAAAAATGTATTTACAAATGTATTGCTTGAGAAACTGCAGGCTAGCAAAAGCAAGAACAATCTTCTCCAAAACATGATGTGAAAAGGATTTTCTTTTTCCCGAGACCACACAATTGAATGAGTATCACTGGAAGAAAATACCAAAGAGTAAAGATGATTTGGTTTTGGAATCTCTAAATGTCATTTAAGTGATTTGCTTGCACTTTGGAAAATCTCAGTATTCTTAGAGTTAAAAGCTTCTTAGGAGCTGTTTCTGCTTTCTTATGGTTTCTAATAATCTCTTAAATTTGAACATACATATCTAGGTTATAGAATCACATTTTGAATAGAGAATAAGGGAGTTCTATCCTTTTAGTTTGCTTGCAGTTAGACCATCCAACTAAAAATACACATTCAGGAGGAGACATGATGAGTTCAGCTGTGACAATAGACAAGGAAAAATTAGCAAGTGAATTTAGGAAAGTTTATCCAGGAAAAAAAAGGGATTTGAACCCTTGTGCTCATTTGGTTACTGCACAAAATTACTATTCTGTGTCTAGGGCACAGTGCTTGTGTTACAGGGTGTGTCTTGGGGCACAGAAGTTCCCAGGTATAGATGTTTGTCTGACCAACTAAATGCTGCTTGCGGTTTTCTGTGTTTACCTCTTATAAACTGATTAAGGAAAATTACAGCTACATTATCCAGAACATAAATTAGATGCTCAGTGTTTGTTTTAACTTCCTTCACAGAATTCAATTGGCCTATTAATACTGATTTTAATAGGTGCAAAGAACAGACACTGGCAGGAAGTTAGGACTGCTATCACTTTTCCACACTTCACAGACACAGTTGTAATAGGCCTGGAGCTGTTACTGAGCTGTGAGTGGTAGAGACCTATCATCTGTGGTGCTGTGTTTGAAAGGTATAATCGCATCTCTGCTCTGCTCATGCTCCTCACTCCAGAAAGCTCTGAGAACTTCAGGTGAAGCAAGCTAAGTGTTCAAATTTCACAATAAAATCCAACATGTGGCTTCTATATCAGAGTCAGTATCAGAAATAAGTAGTACAGGAACTTTCTTCAGCTTATAGACAAGATTTGGAGAAGTGGTGTAGCCATTCTGAAAAAAGTTTTTGTATGCCCTGTATCCACCAGCCTGCTTTGCTGGGCCAGGCTGCCTGCTTGTCACATCCATAAATACCTGCTCAAACACGGCGGGACAAAAAGGTCTTCCAGAGCTGTGTTCCTTAGCCTTTGAAGTGTGGGGAAGTCATGCGTGCACTTTCAGACACCTGTGAATATTTTCATGTGTGCCTGTGCAAGATCTCCCTATACCTAGATGTTGCATCTGCTTGGTAATACAAAGCACACCCCTGGATACCCTTAAGGGTAAAACCAGTCTGCCTAATATTCAAATACAGGAAAATGAGCAATGAGGTGAATGTCCCGAAATAAAACACACTGTACATGTACAAACACGTACATGATCTTCACAAAGAACAGTTACAGCCTCTGCCTTGCACAATGTGATTCTGATGGCTTGTACAAAATTTCAGCAAGCAGAATTTTGGAAAGTATTATTTTGTAGAATTTAAATACATTGTAGAGCATAATAAAATTATTTAAGAAAACCCAACAAACAAACCAAAACCAACACCCCCACCCCCCAATCCCTCAAAAATACGGTTCTGAGATGTAATACCCTATTAACCAAAATGTGAAAGTGAGGGTAATTGAGGGGGTCTTGGTGGTGTGTGTTTGTTTTTTAAATAAAACATTTTAGGATGTTCTAGTTTTTAAGTATGTGATGAGAAAAGTTAAGCAGAAGGTTTGAAAAGGAAAAGTAAGCTGGCACACAGGGAAGAGGGTCTTTCGAGCAGTGGCAGTTGCATTGAAGAAAAGGCAGAAGGCAGCAAGTGTAGCGATTCATGGATGGTGGGGAAAACGAAGAAGTGACGGTAGCAGGGACAAAACCTTTGATGTAAGCCTGCAGAGTTTAAATATGACAGAGAAGACAGAGGCCAGTCAGTCAGGATAAGCTTGAAATGGAGCACTGGGAGAATGAAAAATGCAAGGGATGGTGGAGTTGTGGTTTGTCTCGCTTCCAAGCTGCTGTGATTACGTATTTCATACAGATGAAAGAAAATGTGACACCTGGGCGTTGCCACAGAGTCAACAGGAATACTTCTTGGTGTGCAAGCAGCATACTTACTGTGCTTTTTCCCCATGAAAAAAATGTGATCGTTACTGCTGTTGCAAACAAACAAAAAAAAAATCCACAAACCCTTTAAAAAAATAATTAGCTCAGGCTGAAGTGGGGAAAAAAGCAGCACATGTTGTAATGGTGACTGAATAGGTAGGGCAGGGTAAAGAAGCTTACAGTTTAATCCTGTGGGATTACAAACTGGTGCATCTCCCTCTGGCCCCGTGTCCTATCAGATATCCTATAGACGGAGGATGCAGTCACATGATTGTTACGGCTTCCTCCCCATGACATCACTGCTTTTGCAGCCATACCATCCAAGGAAGGATGCTATTAAAATCTTTGGGACGGGGCTAAATGATGTTGCATTGCAGGTAAGCAACAGAATTCTTCGCAAAACGGATTTGCTGGTTGCTCTCGTGCTGCCGTCCTGCAGCTCCAGCTTTGTCGGGCAGAGTTTCTGCTGGAAAATAAAGCGTCACGGTTCCTCTGCAAGCAGAGGGTTTGCAGGTGCAGAGGCTGCCTGCTGGCTCTGTGCTGATCTCCCGGCTGACATCTCCCGTGGAAATGCTGCCAGATGGAGCTTTAAAGCTGAAGAAGGCCCTTTGTCCCTGTGTTTTGCTATGGCTCCTTCGGGTGTCTGCTGAGTTCTGTATTTATGTGAGCAGCCATCCAGCCATGCGGAGAGAGAGCAGCAATGCTGTTTTGCTTGCATTCCCTGCTTTTTATTTTCCTGGATGCCTGAAGGAAGTCGCTGTACAGATAGTTGTGTCTAAGCTTATAAAGTCATGAGGATTAACTTGCTTATGGGGCTAGTAGATGTATTTGGGGAAAGAGGCTTTTCCTTTCTTACTAGTTTTTGCTGACATGGTTTGAAAGTACCTAGTCCGACAGGTTTCCTGCGTAATTTGCTGTAGTGTAAGGTAGGGTGGGTTTTGCTTGTCATCCAGTATAAGCATGGAAAATGCTTTTCCAGAAGGAACATGAGATAAGCAGATTTTTACTTCTTACATAAAATGCCAATCACCAAAAAGTGAAAAATCCATGCTAAACTGCTTTTTAGGACTGTTGGTGTTTATATAACCAAAGCCCAGAATCTGTTTTCTTTTCCTGGTCTAGGTGTTTAACTATGCACTCTATACAAATACATGAAGACATAATATATGAAGACATAAGACATGAATACATGTGGAGAAAAAAATGGTGACTTTTCTGTGATGGTTTTCTTCTGCATTGCTTCTTTAATATATTTTAGGGGGGGTTAATATTTTACTACTTTCAAAAATTAATAGAAATGTTAGAATGTAAGAAACTAAATTAATTTTTGAGCTTATAGTAGTTAGAAAAATCAAATATGCCTTTTTTTTCTTTTTAAAAAATTCTGATAAATAATTTTGTGCCTCTGCCAGAGAACAGAGGATGACTCAGCTGCAGCTTCATCAGGCAGAGAGTCAGGTGACTTTTCACTCCTAGTCTGCAGGAAGTTTTCTTACTCTTGAAAATCCCATTCTTTGTTCAAATAAATTTTCCTCACTATTGGAAAAATCTGAAAATTTTGCAGGCCTGGTGTCTCTGTGTGCGCACCCATACACTCGTGGAGGAGATTTTGGATCTCCTGTGCTGAAGAAGGTTGTACATGCTAGTGAAAAGTGAATTCTGGTTTCCAGTGATCAGGTATGCAGTAGTGTCAGGATCAGAAGATAAGGGGGAAAGAAAGGAAGTATATAATGAATTATTGAAATGAATTTAAAAAGGAGAATGGTTCTTCAAAACTGAAGAAAAAAAAAATTTAAATTTTGTTTTTCT